AGGAAATGGTTAAATCTATTTCAGTCTGTCTCCTAAATGACGTTAGAGTCTCCTGAGGGAGGGATATTGCAGTCACTTTGGAGGCCATTGAGAACGGGTATCAGGGCTCTGTTTAAGCCCATTAAGGGAAAGCTATTTCTTCTGGTCAAAAGAATAGAATCTTCCTCTGGCTCTGGGTAGAGATCTGACTTTCTGATCTGCTTTAAAAACAGAACATTTCATAATCTCCTCCCTTCAGAGTAACCCAACTGGGCCTGTCAATCATCTAGCTGGGCGACCACCTCTCAGGAAGGCTGGCTCACAAGAGGACATGTAAAGGATTGGGGAGGAATAATTATCCCTTTAATGAGATAACATATTTAACCTTCCCAAAACCACACCCCCGTGCAGTTGCTTGCAGAGCCTCTATCATGTGACTGCCCCTGCATTTCTGAGGTTTCTTTCTCTTTCTTCAATCTTTATCTTTTTCTTTCTTTAGATGCTATCCAAAACCTACACATGCCTTCCCCTGTGTTCTGGATCTCCTTATTCTTTCTCTCTGAAGCTACACACCCATTTGTCTTTTGTGCTTACAAATGGCATGGCTTTCTCTCTTCCTTTTCCTCTCCCTCCCACTGACAGCTGTCAAGAGTACAGCTTGCCTGTTCTGTTGTTTTTCTCTTAAACTATAAGAAAATTGTCCTCATACATTCACATAGTGAAAGGAGAGAACTGGCCCCTGTAATTGGACTCTGACCTCTATACACACACACACACACACACACACACACACACACACACACACACACACGATAGATAGATAGATGATAGATAGATAGATAGATAGATAGATAGATAGATAGATAGATAGATGATGATGATAGATAGATAGATAGATAGATAGACAGATAGATAGATGATGGATAGACAGATGACAGATAATAGATGTACAAACATGTTTGAAGGCATAGTTTTGTCCCTCCCTCTTCCTGCCCCTTTCTTTTTTCCTCTCAAACACATATAAATCTGCCCTTGAGCTTCCTTCTGAGTCCATTTTTAAACTCTTCTTTTATTAATGAGAAGAGACTCCCAGATCCCTTTGTAATAGGAGACTGTGGAATAGATTTGCCTTGTTCTCCTCTGTTGCTAGAGGGAAAGCAGGGGTCCTTGAGAACTTCCTTACCCCAGGTGAGCAGTAGCTCTGTGGCTGGGTTATGCAAAACCAAGGGCCACAAAAACTAACTCAGGCCCAAGACTTCCAGGCTCTTTGTCTCAGAACTTGAAGAATCAATTTCATGGACAATGGGGAAGGTGGATTTTTCTCAAGGAGTTTATTATTATAGGTTCATAGCTAGGAGTTTCAGAGAAGGAAGCAAGGGAGTTCCTATATCACACCCATGTTGGGCAGCTCACAATTCCTCTAACTCCAGGGATCCAATGCTTTCTTCTGGTTTCCACGGGTGATGTACTCATGTACACTTTTTTTTTTTTTTGGTTTTTCGAGACAGGGTTTCTCTGTAGCTTTGGAGCCTATCCTGGAGCTAGCTTTTGTAGACCAGGCTGGTCTCGAATCACAGAGATATGTCTGCCTCTGCCTCCTGAGTGCTGGGATTAAAGGCATGCACCACCACTGCCTGGCCCTTATGTACACATTTACACACACACACACACACACACACACACACACACACACACTGCAGATACTCACCCTCATTTTGGGGGTCACCCATCCTGTGAGGCTCCCCATGACTTGGAGTGAGAATAAGATGGGGGAGGGGGAGAGAGAGAGAGACAGAGAGGGAGAGAAAGAAGGAAAGAGGGAGGAGAGACAAACAGAGAGAGGGAGACAGAGACAGAAAGAGAAAGAGAGAGGATGGAGGGAGAGAGACAGAGAAGGGGAAAGAAACATTCACACACAGGGGGGGAGGGAGAGAGAGAGAGAGAGAGAGAGAGAGAGAGAGAGAGAGAGAGAGAGAGAGCTGCAATGAGGTGGACAGAGATAGCTTGGAACAGAAAGTACCTTTAGAAAAATCCCCTGTGAAAAGGGATATTGGGCTTTAATATGTTTTAGGGGGTGTCGGGAAGTTTTACACCACTTGATTTAGTATAGAATGGGCAATGTGTCAAAGAGCATGGGCATGGGAAAGCTGGGTGTTGGTTAGGACCAGAGATTAGGAACTGCTTTTAGGCCATAGCATAGGCAGACAGTTGTTTCTTATTATTTTTTTAATACGTATTTTATTTTTATTTTATATACATTGGGGTTTTGCCTGTATGCATGTCTGCTTGAGGGTGTCAGATCTCCTGCAACAGAAGTTACAGACAGGTGTGAGCTGTCATGTGGGTGCTGGGAATTGAACCCAGGTTCTCTGGAAGAGTACCCAGTGCTCTTAACTGCTGAGCCATCTCTCCAACCCCAACAGACAGTGTCCTAATTCTGTCTCAGGGAGAGAGCTGCAGTGGGTAAGGCCTGATTTCTCCAGGCTGTGGGAGCAGGTTTCTTGGGGTGACAACTGTCTCACAGGGTCACACAGTCACCTAACACTAGTCAAGGACGGGAAAGTCAGAGCTGCTTGTTTTCAAAGCTCCTGTCCTAAAGATGTCCTGCCGGTTTCTCTCTGTCTTTATCTCTTCCTCTCAGAGAGTTCATGAATAATAAAAGGGTTACATTTATAATAAGCTCCTTTGGACACCTGACTTTATAGAATGAGGTAACTTGGGGCTAGAGCCCCGGGAAAGCCCCGCCCCCCAGTGATGAAGGAATAGAATCACTGCTTTCAACCCTGGGGACGTGGGAGGAGAAGGAGGGAGTCTGGGCATTAGACACCACACAACTCTGAAACCAAACCACTTGTGGTGACACAAGCCTGTTAGCCCAGCGGTCGGGAGGCTGAGGCAGGAGAAGCCTGTGTGTAAAGAGAGCCTTGTTAGGAAAGGACAATCTCAGTGCTGCAGAAACAAACAAACAAACAAGGCAAAAGAACTTGACAAGGCAACAGCTTCTTGCATAAAGGTACCTGTGCCAAAACATAGACCAGGTTAGCAAGCACATGGGGCTGAAATGGCCTCTGGCTTTTACGCCTGACGTAGCTAATGACCTTGTCTCACCCCATTGTCAGAGCTCCACAGTGTGACATGACAGGCTAATAGGTGCAAAGAGTCACGGGGAGACCCAGGGAATATAAGTGTGGTTGAGCTGACTAACTTTGATGGGGGGAAATAAATGTTTCGCTCAGTCTGTGTTCAAGAGTACGCTCGAGGTCAGTCTAGATGACAAGACAAGATACTGTCTCCTGAAAACAAATAGCAAGCAATAAATAAGTAAACAAGCAAAACCTCTGTAAGCCTATGTAATAAGACGTTTGATGTGGTTCTGAATTATTAAACCCATAGAAGTGCAGGGCGGGCGGAAGGAATGCTTAAAGAGAGAAGGGTGGCCGGCAGCGGGGCGCATGCCTTTAATCCCAGCACTTGGGAAGCAGAGGTAGGCGGATCTCTGTGAGTTTGAGGCCAGCCTGGTCCCACGCTCATATCTTGCCCCATGCATCTCTTCACCTGGCTATTCTTCTGTGTCCTTTATAGTAGCTTTTTCAACAAGCTAGTTAATGTAAGTGAGATAGGTGTTCTGTCTGGTTCTGACAGTGAATTATTAAGCCTATTAGCACAAAACAGACACCGTGTAATCAGAGTTTTGGGGCAAAGTGCTATCTCCAGCAGGACCAAAGGACTAGTATGGCTCTCCTTCCCTATGACCCAGCTAAGGAGGGTGATGCTGGAGAATTCAGAGAGAAGAGGAGGTCTGTGTAATGAAACAGTTCTAGCCAGAGCCAGGCCTGGTGCGGCCAGGCAGTCCTAAGAGGGTGTCTTTGCTGTCGTCATTTGAGAGGAACAGTCTTGTAACCTCCCCACTGAGTGCAGACACTCACCCACATTTGGGGGTCACCCATCCTGGGAGGCTTCACCATGACATGGAGGTAACTTCAGTCCCTTGTCACAAGATGTTTATCGATCAGTCTTATTAATCAATCCTATCGATCAGTTCTGCTGTTCTGAGGTTACTGTAGGAAAGAGTGACTTACAAAGAAAGGTTGGAGAGGCCAACGCAGGCCCCAGAGAAGGACAAGATGGCATTAATTAGGCCAGCGACATGGGTATCTGTTCCATACAGCCAGTTAACAGTAGTCTCTAGAGAAATAAAGCCAGTAGAAGTTATAAACCTTAAGAGATTTATCTTGATGTGTGTGTGTCCGTGTGTATGTGTGTGTATGTGTTGTGAATGTGCTATGCATGTGTTATGTATTGTATATTTCTGTGCATTGTGTATGTGATGTGGGCATGTATGCATGGGCTGTGTGTTGTGTGGGTATGTATGTATTTATGTGTATGTTGTGTGTATGTGCTGTGTGTGTTGTATATTGTATATTTGTGTGCATTTATGTGGTATGGGCATGTATGTGTGGGCTGTGTGTGTTCTGGATGTGTATATGTGTGTGTGGTGTGTGTGCATGTAGTATGTGTGTATGTATGTATGGGTTGTACATATGAATATGTGGTCTGT